AAACTGGAATGCAGAGCTTTGACGAGGATTCTGATCAGGTCCACAAGAGGCTTAGAACAGAATAAAAGAAGTCTGTTGATCTGGTCAAACTGTGTTGCTTGCATCATCATCTTGTTCTATCTTCAGGAGTTTGGTTAATTTTTTCCATGGCCATGGTTCGATAACTCAGCGCAGACCAATTGTACATGCTTTCTCTTTGGTTTGCTGGATTTCATTGATTCTCCTGGATAAAATCATATTATATGTAATTCATTTATTATACTTGTTCTGTCAGATACAGGCTTCCATATGTATAATGAGAAAGCTGCTCCCATCATTTAAGAGGTATCCATTTCCAATGTGAAACTTTTTGCCATTGTTTCAACTTTTGTTGCGAATTTTTGCATGATGTTTATTTCTCTATTGTTGTTCGAGTTTTTTTGTATTTCTTTGATTCTGTGTGGTGTAGTCTATGTTACGGAATGTTAGTTGAGAGCAGTGTTCTGAAAGCCGGATCGGACTAGTCCAACCGGTGATCGACGCCCTCTCTGGTCTGGTTTACCATTTTTAATTGTTTACCAAATCTCTAATATGATCATTGGCGAACAAGGGGTTACCAAGTGCCGGGGTTAGAGGGTTTTTGTAGAGTGGAGGTTGATGGTTCAAGGGGTGGTGTCGATTAAATTTTGGATGCCAAAATCAGTCGAAATTTGGTCAGAAAATCAACCCAATACACGAGTCACAGTCGACAAACGGGGGGTTATCAAATGTCGAGGTTAGATGGGTCTTGTAGAGTTGAGGCCGGTAGTTCAGGTGGTGGTGTCAGATTGAATTTTTTACGTTGGAATCAGTCGAAATTTGGTCAGAAAAATCAACCTAATCGCGGCGTGGTTCGCGAGTCATAGCTAGCAAACGGGGGGCTACCAAGTTTCGAATTTAGAGAGGTTTTGTAGAGTAGAGGACGGTGGTTCAGGCGGTGGTAGTAGATTGAATTATGGTTGTCAGAATTTGGTCGGAAAAATCAATTTCGGTTCAGATTGTAGGGGTGTATTTGATAGATTTTAAACTTGTAGAGATTGATTCATATTTTTTAAGGGTGTGTTTGCAAGATTTCAAACTTTTTGGACAGTTGGTCGGGCCGCTAGTTTAACCAGTCGAATAGGCAAACCGGGACTTGGCGTCTTGGCCAGGTGACACCCTGGGTCGAGTTTCATAACCTTGATTGAGAGCATTTTCTTAGGTTTAACCATTGTTTTAAAACCCGGACCGAAGGGCAACCTGTTTTGTTGCCCGGGTCATAGGTCAACCGGTCGCTTGGACGGATGACGTCAGTGATAATTTTATTTTTAAAAAATTATTATTAATCCCTCAAATTTTAATATATTACAAAAATTCCCCTAAAGAAGTTCAATTAGTCCCTAAAATTTTTATTTATTTCAAAAATGCCTCAAAAAAAATTACCAATTAATCCCTAAACTTTGGACATATCTCCAAAACACCTCTATAAAATTACAAATTAAATGAAATATTACAAAAATGAAAAACCCCTCTAAGAACTGAATCGGTCTGGAGAAGCTGTCGGTTCTCGATCCGACTGGTCGGTCCGGTCCGGTTTTTAAAACAGAGGGTCTAACATGAAAATGAAATGGGCCTTAACCTATCTTTGTTATATTTTGTTATCTCTTCCTACAACGTGTTTCATGTTTCAACCCAATTCAATTATCCAACCAAGTAGCTGGCGCAAGGAGATGAACTCAAAATAAAACCATAATTTCTTTCTAGGAATTTAAGTCAATAGATGTGGCAATATTATCAAAGCGAAAGAGACACTTTTTTGGACTATTAACTATGCAAATGTTCCAACTCTCGAGTCCCAAATGCTGATATACCTGCAACTTTAGTCTTCTTCTAACCGTGTAGAAAGTAGGTGAAACAAAGGAAACAAGAACACTTTTTTTTGCTTCAAGTCTTTAATTTCCTACCCACAGAAAAAAATAAAATACTTCTCTAGAGTACTCACCGGCCTCAGCACTTCAACTTTGCTTTTTATTAGTTTTCATTGGGCTTTTGAAAATAAAATAAAAATAAAAAAAGTAAGCCACTTCTTCTGGGAATGATTGTGTGCTGCGAAAGGTATGTTTGAGTGCCTCAATCGTCACACATTAGCACTAATGCAATTTGGAAAATTGGGTAGCCATCCTTTTTTTTTAACCAATTCAACTTAATGTCTTTAATGGAACCCTTGACTTCTTGGATCATCCACAAACAAAATTTTCTTGGATCAATAAAATCCCCTTATTGGATCACTCACTGCTTCTATTTCTACAGTCACACTGCATTTTTAACAACTTTCACCTGAGCAAAAACTTATATTGTTGTGTGGCAGATTTCAGATGAGAGATCTTATACCTCAAAATGATCAGAAAAGAGATAAGGCTTCATTCTTTTAGAGGTACACCCGATAATAATTTGTTACTCACTAAACAGTTGAAGGATGTTATGGTTATTGTCATTTAAGTTCTGAAAGTTTCTTTCTTGGTGGAATTGAAGAAGTTTTAGTTTATATGCAGGTTATAGAGTACATTCAGTTTTTACGAGACAAGTTAAATATGTATGAGGGATCATATCAAGGGTGGAGTCAAGAGCCAACCAAACTGATGCCATGGGTAGACTTTTAGTGCTGGAAGAGTGTGTCTGTGTGTGTGGCTACATGTGATGATGTGGACCATCTTATTGCTTTTCCTAATCAAAATTAAGCATGGTCACTGATGCTGTGTCAGTGCTTGTGTGCATCCTTAATTTTCATTTCTGTTGTTGGAAGGCTTTCTGGCCATGATTTCAAGTGTATACTTGTTTGTATGATGGGGAAACATGTTGATTTTTTGGTTTTATTCTAGATGACAATTTCTCATGGAATTTATCTGTTTAAACAGAGAAACCAGAATGGCCCTGCAGAAAATATATGGAACATTCTCAAGTTTTAAAGAATGGTTCTAGTCATGAAACAATGTGTTACCCTGCCATGCTCACAAATGCACAGAACCAATTGAATCTGATATGGGCACAGCTGCAGTATACAAAACTACTGATCTTGCTCCTGGGGCAGCGTCTCCAATGGTTCCCCTTAATGTACATGCCCAGCCGAACATGATGCTCCTGTGGGGAGGGGCAGCATGCCTACCCAATCATTACAGGAATCAATTTCTGATGCTGAGAACATGAGTACCGCACCAATCAGAATTTGGCCAGGCAGAGCATGTGCAACTGACTGTGCTATTCTAAATGGTTCACTGAATGAGCAGGACCTTCGATTGAAAGTGGGTCATCTAGCATTTCAAGTGCTTACTCTCAAGGGGGAGAACAGTGATATATTTGTGTTAAGAATGCCAAATCTGGTTGTTTATTATGTTGTCTCTTGGTAAAGTTTCGTTTAGATGGCCATCTTTATTAGAAGGCTTGGGGGTATCAGTAAATAATCTTGACATAGAATGGCCATCTGAGACTTTTGCATAAAACAGGTTATTGAATACTCTGAGCCAAGCACTGCAATCATCGGGTGTGGACCCGTCACAAGCCAACATCTCAGTGCAAATTGATGTTGGAAAACGGATAATCAGTGGACAAACTGCCATGGTCCTGTTCAAAGGTTCATTTTCTAATCTTCAACCGAACTCTCATAAAACTTCTTGTGCTTTTAAGTTTTTAAGCCTTCTCTTAGTGGTACTACTGAGACGTTGTTTTTCATGTGATACGTCTATTTAATTCCTTTATTTAACAAGTTGGTTAGTTAATTAATTGATAAAAATGAGATGAAACTCTAAATTATAATTTTTAAAATTATTTTTAAATTACCATTCCCCTCATCCTTTTTAATATTAATTTTTTTAATAAATAAATAAATAAAAGTACAGTAAAACCTCTTTATAGTCATAATGGTGGAACTAATTAATTTTATTATTATGAGGAGGTTATAACTTAATAGAGGTGTAGTTACAAAAATTTCTTATTTCATAATTCATGTTTTAATAATACAATATTAAGATTTCAATTCATGTTTTAATAGTATTAGGGTTTTAATTCAGCGCTTCAATTATCTATTTTTGAAACGGATAGAAGATCGTGTCTTAGAACCAATAAAGATAATTGTCTTTGATGGAATTGTAAATGTAGTTGTTGCATAGTCAATTGATGTGAAGCCATAGATAATTGTCAAGTGTTTTAAGCATTACAAAATTAAGACTCCCGATGTTGATGAATTGCAAGTTACAATTGAAGTGGATGAGGAGAATAAAAGAGTCCTTGTAAAATTGAGTGATCAGATTCGACAGTTTCACTATATTAATCAAATGGATATTAATGTCTTCCTTAATCATCGAAATAAGCAGCAAGTCATGTATGCTTTAACAGAAGAATAAATCATTGCTACAATTAAACAAGAAAAGAAATGAAATAATTATGAAGATGATAGTACGGAAATACAAAAAGTTTCGTACTAAGAAGCTCTAAACATGCTTGAGAAGCTAAAAATATTTTGGCTTCAACAAGAAAATATCTACGCTAGCGAGTAATGTACCCGCAAGTTGAAAGATGTGGTAACAACTCTAAAGCATAACTTATTATTCCAAACAACTTTAGGTACATATTTTATTTTATTTTAAACCTTGAATGTAATATAACATATTTTTTTTATAATATACATATAATTATTACTATGTGGAGCAACTTTTTTTAAGACGGAAATTAGAAAAATTATATCTTATTACAATATAGAATTTATTCTTATTTATAACTATTCTAAATTAGGAATAAAATTTTTTATAATTATGTAGAGTTTATTTCTATATAGAGTATCACCATAAAGATGTTTAATTGTATTGCTAAATATATCATCAACAGTACACCAACTCAATCCTAAACGTTAACCCACGGTGCGCAAGTTAGAAGCCGCCACTTCGAAACTAAAATAATTCGGTTACAATAAAATAATGAATAATTAAATATTATTGTCTGTAAGACTGTAACACTCGCCTAGGGCTTCATCAATCAGTCTCAGTACCCTGGACTCTCTTAAACAATATAAAATTTCTCATTTTCTCCCTCGTGCCCAATTCTCACCACCACCACCACCTCCTCCTACTCCTTCAGTTACGTCGCCGTTTCAGTTCCGAACAATCGGAGTTGTTATATTCAACATAACAACTGCAGAATGGTGAAATCTTCCAAGACTCACCTGGAAGAAGACGAAGAGACCGACGACTACGACGAGCTCCTTCACAGAAACACTTCCTCCTCTGCCTACAAAGGTTTGTGTATGTACGCTTGCATACGTGTGGAGATATACGTATTCGTGTTATGCGTGTTATGACGTGGAATTTTTTTTTTTTTTTGGTGTGTTTCTGTAGGTGAAGAAATGAAGGTGGAGGGGAAGGGCAGTGAACAGAAGACCAACGCGTATCGGTCGAAGCATTCGGAGACCGAGCAGCGAAGGAGAAGCAAAATTAATGAGAGGTAAGCTTTGTTTTCATGATTTTTGATTTTAGTTTACTGTCAGTTTGGCGTTGGAAAGAATGAAATTTGAAATGTGAATCATGTTAAGGAATGTTTGTCGTTTTATTGATAAAATTAAGGTTTTTGATTTTGGTTTTGGCTGTAAGTTTGTTAAGTATTGAAGACTGGCGAATACAAGATATTGTTGGACTTAAGAAAATTCCTACTTTTTTTTTTTTGTTTAATTTTACAGAACAAACCAACATAGTTATGTTTCTGACTAATGTCTAGTATTATTTAGGTTATGAAAGAAACAATTACAGTACTTTCTTAGAGCAGCCGGAATTTAATTGTTGCCACTGATTGACTGACTAAATCGTTGTTTTAATATTAAGCACAAATATTTCCAAAATTAACAGATACTTTTCTATCTGAAATTTGCATTTTTTTACATGGATGGCTACCAAATGCAAGACTGAGACTGATAACAAACAGACTAGAGTTTCTGCCAATGACTTTGATAGAGTGTAGGATGTTATTTAGGTGTCATTTCAGTGCATTATAATTGCATGCATTCGCATTTTTTAGTCTCTGAAGTCAATCATTTGTCTTTTACTGGCTTGTGCAAGAATTTTGGTTTTTGTGATTATTATAAACTTCTATACTGCTTTCATAAAGCACTCTAATTTCTCTATGAAGTGAATAGCTTGACTATTATTCTTCTTCACCTGAGCAAAAACTTATATTGTTGTGTGGCAGATTTCAGATATTGAGAGATCTTATACCTCAAAATGATCAGAAAAGAGATAAGGCTTCATTTCTTTTAGAGGTACACCCGATAATAATTTTGTTTACTCACTAAACAGTTGAAGGATGTTATGGTTATTGTCATTTAAGTTCTGAAAGTTTCTTTCTTTGTGGTGAATTGAAGAAGTTTTATGTTTATATGCAGGTTATAGAGTACATTCAGTTTTTACGAGACAAGTTAAATATGTATGAGGGATCATATCAAGGGTGGAGTCAAGAGCCAACCAAACTGATGCCATGGGTAGACTTTTAGTGCTGGAAGAGTGTGTCTGTGTGTGTGGCTACATGTGATGATGTGGACCATCTTATTGCTTTTCCTAATCAAAATTTTAAGCATGGTCACTGATGCTGTGTCAGTGCTTGTGTGCATCCTTAAATTTTCATTTTCTGTTGTTGGAAGGCTTTCTGGCCATGATTTTCAAGTGTATACTTGTTTGTATGATGGGGAAACATGTTGATTTTCTTGCTTTTTATTCTAGATGACAATTTCTCATGGAATTTATCTGTTTAAACAGAGAAACCAGAATGGCCCTGCAGAAAGTTATATGGAACATTCTCAAGTTTTAAAGAATGGTTCTAGTCATGAGAACAATGATGTTACTCCTGCCATGCTCACAAATGCACAGAACTCAATTGAATCTGATATGGGCACAGCTGCAGTATACAAAACTAGTGATCTTGCTCCTGGGTCAGCGTCTCCAATGGTTCCCCTTAATGTACATGCCCAGCCGAACATGTATGCTCCTGTGGGGAGGGGCAGCATGCCTACCCAATCATTACAGGAATCAATTTCTGATGCTGAGAACATGAGTTACCAGCACCAATCAGAATTCTGGCCAGGCAGAGCATGTGCAACTGACTGTGCTATTCTAAATGGTTCACTGAATGAGCAGGACCTTTCGATTGAAAGTGGGTCATCTAGCATTTCAAGTGCTTACTCTCAAGGGTGAGAACGTGATATATTTGTGTTAAGAATGCCAAATCTGGTTGTTTATTATGTTGTTCTCTTGGTAAAGTTTCGTTTAGATGGCCATCTTTATTAGAAGGCTTGGGTGATCAGTAAATAATCTTGACATAGAATGGCCTTATCTGAGACTTTTGCATAAAACAGGTTATTGAATACTCTGAGCCAAGCACTGCAATCATCGGGTGTGGACCCGTCACAAGCCAACATCTCAGTGCAAATTGATGTTGGAAAACGGATAATCAGTGGACAAACTGCCATGGCGTCCTGTTCAAAGGTTCATTTTCTAATCTTCAACCGAACCCTCATAAAACTTCTTGTGCTTTTAAGTTTTTTAAGCCTTCTCTTAGTGGTACTACTGAGACGTTTGTTCCTTTAATGCATATGTTTTCAGATGACTAACATTTGTTGGGCTACAACTTTTGCTAGCAATAACTTTCCTTTGAATTTTTTTATCATTGTTCATCCAGGATCATGAGAAGCAATATCGAGACAATCTAGTGATGGCACAAACTGGAATGCAGAGCTTTGACGAGGATTCTGATCAGGTCCACAAGAGGCTTAGAACAGAATAAAAGAAGTCTGTTGATCTGGTCAAACTGTGTTGCTTGCATCATCATCTTGTTCTATCTTCAGGAGTTTGGTTAATTTTTTCCATGGCCATGGTTCGATAACTCAGCGCAGACCAATTGTACATGCTTTCTCTTTGGTTTGCTGGATTTCATTGATTCTCCTGGATAAAATCATATTATATGTAATTCATTTATTATACTTGTTCTGTCAGATAGAGGCTTCCATATGTATAATGAGAAAGCTGCTCCCATCATTTAAGAGGTATCCATTTCCAATGTGAAACTTTTTGCCATTGTTTCAACTTTTGTTGCGAATTTTTGCATGATGTTTGTTTCTCTATTGTTGTTCGAGTTTTTTTTGTATTTCTTTGATTCTGTGTGGTGTAGTCTATGTTACGGAATGTGAGTTGAGAGCAGTGTTCTGAAAGCCGGATCGGACCTGTCCAACCGGTGATCGACGCCCTCTCTGGTTTGGTTTACCATTTTTAATTGTTCACCAAATCTCTAATCTGATCGCTGGCGAATGAGAGGTTATTAAGTGCCAGGGTTAGAAGGTTTTTGTAGAGTGGAGGTTGATGGTTCAAGGGGTGGTGTCGGATTGAATTTTGGACGCCAGAATTAGTCGGAATTTGGTCAGAAAATCAACCCAATACACGAGTCACAGCCGACAAACGGGGGGCTATCAAGTGTTGAGGTTAGATGGGTCTTGTAGAGTTGAGGCCGGTAGTTCAGGTGGTGGTGTCAAGTTGAATTTTTTATGTTGGAATCAGTCGAAATTTGGTCAGAAAAATCAACCCAATCGCAGTGTTGTTCGCGAGTCACATCTAGCGAATGGGGGGTTACCAAGTTTCAGATTTAGAGGGGTTTTATAGAGTGGAGGACGGTGGTTCAGGCGGTGGTGACAGATTGAATTATGGTTGTCAGAATTTGGCCCAAAAAATCAATTTCGGTTCAGATTGTAGGGGTGTATTTGATAGATTTCAAACCTGTAGAGATTGTTTCATATTTTTTAAGGGTGTGTTTGCAAGATTTCAAACTTTTTGGACAGTTGGTTAGACTGCCAGTTTAATTGGTTGAACAGGCAAACCGGGACTTGGCCTCTTGGCCAAGTGACACCCTAGGTTGGGTTTTATAACCTTGGTTGAGAGCATTTTCTTAGGTTTAATCATTGTTTTAAAACCTGGACCGAAGGGCAACCTGTTTTACTGCCTGGGCTACAGGTCAATCGGTTGGACCGGTTGGATCGATGACATCAGCGATAATTTTATTTTTTAAAAATTATTATGAATCCCTCAAATTTTAATATATTACAAAAATTCCCCTAAAGAAGTTCGATTAGTCCCTAAAATTTTTATTTATTTCAAAAATGCCCCAAAAAATAACCAATTAATCCCTAAACTTTTGACATATCTCCAAAACACCCTTATAAAATTATAAATTAACCCTTATAATTTTGAAATATTACAAAAACTCTTTAAGACCTGAATCGGACTGGAGAAGCTGTTGGGTCCTAGTTGGACCTGTCCGGTTTTTAAAACAGAGGGTTTAACATGAAAATGAAATGGGCCTTAACCTATCTTTGGTATATTTTGTTATCTCTTCCTACAACGTGTTTCATGTTTCAACCCAATTCAATTATCCAACCAAGTAGCTGGCGCAAGGGGATGAACTCAAAATAAAACCTTAATTCCTTTCTAGGAATTTAAGTCAATAGATGTGGCAATATTATCAAAGCGAAAGAGACACTTTTTTGGACTATTAACTATGCAAATGTTCCAACTCTCGAGTCCCAAATGCTGCTATACCTGCAACTTTAGTCTTCTTCTAACCGTGTAGAAAGTAGGTGAAACAAAGGAAACAAGAACACTTTTTTTTGCTTCAAGTCTTTAATTTCCTACCCACAGAAAAAAATAAAATACTTCTCTAGAGTACTCACCGGCCTCAGCACTTCAACTTTGCTTTTTATTAGTTTTCATTGGGCTTTTGAAAATAAAATAAAAATAAAAAAAGTAAGCCACTTCTTCTGGGAATGATTGTGTGCTGCGAAAGGTATGTTTGAGTGCCTCAATCGTCACACATTAGCACTAATGCAATTTGGAAAATTGGGTAGCCATCCTTTTTTTTTAACCAATTCAACTTAATGTCTTTAATGGAACCCTTGACTTCTTGGATCATCCACAAACAAAATTTTCTTGGATCAATAAAATCCCCTTATTGGATCACTCACTGCTTCTATTTCTACAGTTACACTGCATTTTTAACAAACCCAATTGCTTGTTTATTTGATTTGATTTGACCTCTCTCTCTCTCTCTCTCTCTCTATCACTCAGATTCAACCAAGAAGGATAAAGCCAGGACCATTCTTGGATCTTGAATGGTTTATGGAAAATAAATGTTGGTTTGCCATGCGTGCATTGTGGGCAATCATACATTGCCATACCCACGATTTATTCAGAGAAATAAAATAAGAACAACCAAATAGTGAATAAAAAAACTTGGTGTTGGCTGCTTACTAATGGGAATACGCAGGGGGTTTACAACAATCTCAAGACTAAACTGGGTTGGTTTGGGTGTAAACGAGCTGGGCCGAATCAAGTTTTGGGCTAATTGAGCTCGGTTCGTTTGTTATAGTGCCGAGTTTGAGCTCAAGCTTGACAAGTTTGAAAATTCTAGTTCGAGCTCAAGCCTAATTGAGCTCACAAAAAAAAAAAAAAAAAAAAAAAAACTCTCTAATTCTTTATTTTTTCGCTTTTTTAATTGAGCTTTTCGAACTAGAGCTCGAGTCGAGTTAAAATCAGGCCTGTTCTAACTCAACTCAAACTGTAGCCAAGCCGAGCTCGAACTCGAGTTTGACAAAACTCGAGTCGCTCGGCTCGACTGACACCCTTGGACTAAAGTGTTACTTAAACCAAACCTCAGGGATGAAATATATTATGCCTTAAAGTAGCTTAGACAAGAATTATATATTGCCAGCTAGAACTGACCAGCTGGCCCCAGAGGCATTGAAGACAAAAGATCAAGAAGAGATTTTTCTGCTGATTCAAATATTTATGTTTCCATATACAAATAGATGCTGTCTAAAGGAAGTGAAAGAAGTAAGTTGACCAAATCTCTTATTCTTTATGTTTAGCACATGCTTAGACACAAATAAAATATCTGATATAATCTTATGATCTTGCAGCAAATATAAGCCCTTCTGGCTCTATTACTATTACAGCTGCTTATCTTCAATTCTTGCCACTTGGTTCAGAAAGATCACTTTCTTTTCACGATTAGTATCATGTAACTTGTATGATAATCACACATTCACACCTCACATTCAAACTTCTTAGGAGAGATCACATGTCAAACTTCTTTTTTATTTCTTTTTTTTTTTTTATATATATTTCATGCTGAAGAAAGTATAAGAAAAAAAAAAACTGTGTTTTCTTCCCTTATTTACAAAGCAGATGATCACTTGTAGTCTTATTGGCCCTTCACTCTATACATGAATCTGCTGGTTCAATGTATGAATTATTATAAATATTTTTGCAGTGGCCCTTTTCTGAAGAATGTCCGGCTTGAGCCTAAGTTCTAGAACTTAATTTCAAGAAGAGAATTAGGCCACTGTGTTTGATAAATTATGTATAAAATGAGGCAATCATCTCACTGGCATGACCAAATTCATGTGTTTGTTAATGGTTCATCTAACAACTGCAAACACTCATGCGGATTTGAATAGAAATAGTCCTCTTCCTTTGGTTTATCCAGCATGACAACTCGTTGCTTCGGGTTGCCCATCAAATCAGCATGAACTTCCTTCACAGTTGAGGAGAACTCATCCCAGCTCAATGAACCATTCTTGTATCTGTCAATTAAATCAACCAGAAGCCGTCTGTCCAATAAAATTGTCTTCTTGAACCCCAAGAATCTGAAATAAGTGTTGAATGAAACAAAGCCTCATGTTTTAGACAATGCTAATTGACAATGTAAAATAAGGAAAAAAAAATACAGTTGAATTAGACCCTTCTCATTACCTGCGATGGCCTTCAACAACTTTCGCCATGTTTCCATCATACGTCGGAACAAATATATCACTCTCTAGGGATACAAGATAATCTAGTGCTGCCATTTGTGAAGAATGGTTTTGGAAAAACTTCAAATCTGATGGTTCAAGCAGAGTTTCTTTTCTAACCTGTTTGATAATACCAAAGAAAATTCACATATATCATAAGCTTATTATTTACATGAAAAACTTTATAAGAAAGTTGCTTTTACTTTATTCAACTGACCAAATTAGGAAAAGCCTCTGCCAAAGTTGCCATCCTTCTTTCTCCACCATATATTTCCCCAGCAGCAATATAAATTTGAACATTACGATCAATGCCTAGTGCACTTAAAACTAGACCTGTTTCTTCTGGTGTCAAAGGGCACAAACCTTCTTTCCTTTTCATGTCAGAGTTTATGACTTTTTCCTTCCACCATGGATAAGCATATCTAAACACATGTTATTTGCATACCATTATTAAAAAGTTAAGTGGGTTGAAAGTATATATCATCAAAGTATTCATAAATGATTACCTCATTCTAGTGAGTTCTTCAACCTCCTCACTATTGCAACCATGAGTGCATCCAGAAAAAGCTAACATGTCCATTTCATATCTGAGATGAAGGACCAGAAATGGACCTTTTTCCCTCAAAATCCTCACAACCCTTCTTCCCAATTCCTCCAACTGAGAAGTAAATCTCAGAGCACTGAAATTTACTCGGCACCGCAACTTCTGAATCTCAATAGGCAGTCCATTGTTAGCAAGCCTTGCATCAGTTTTGTTTAGATGTACAACCTTGTATTTTTGCAGCAGGGGAAGAATCTGTTTGCAATGTCACAGTACCTCAACGATTAAGTTAACTGCCATTAAACACAAATATAAGAAGAAGAAGGCTAATTCCAGCTTTATATTTATGAGAACCTAACCTGATTATGGTAGTAAGAAATGTCAGACCAACTAATGGGAGGCAATGAGTAAAACATTCCCAGTTCAACTCTTCTTTTAAGCCTCGGTGGTAATTCTTTCAATATACGAACCTCATCTCTCAAGGAAGTTATGAAATGATCAACATCAAAAATGTCTTGGAACTCACTGTTCAGGAAGAATCAATCAGAGAAATTAAGAATTCTTGTTTTGAATATGTCAAATTGAGAAAGTAGAAAGTAATCAACAAACCTTGGATCATTCCAGAATGAAGT